GCAAGATGAAATGAATGCCCTTCCTCACGGAAGACGAGAAGACGAAGGGAGTGGGATGTTAAAAGAGTGACACGAAAACCGCTCAATTGGGAGAGGAAGACACGAGAGACAGTGTGGCAAAGGATGCCAAACAAGTAGTTTTGTATATGATATTGAAATCAAAAGACAACCACAGGGAAGATGGTAAACATTGGCTTTGATGCCTCCTAATATCTCCTCCAGTTCTTCTGGTCGCCTTCTTCTTCCACTCTCTTCCACGCTCCTGAGAGACAATGAGGCCTTCAGGTTCACGGAGAAATCTCACTTCAATGGGGGCAACTTCCTTCATCTGGTCGTCCACTTGTGCCTTCCTCAATGCTAATAATCAGCAAATCAACGACACTCAAAACAGCCCAAGTGTCCAGCAGAAACTTCTGTTGCTGCCTTTGTTCCTTCGTCATCTGCTTCTTCACTCTTTCGCATCACCTGGCGCTTTCACCATGCCTTGGGCACCGACATCTCACTTAACCCTTTGCAGTCCACAAAACTGCACGGAAGATAGAGAAGATGTTTGGCAATTGTGCAGACTGGATTGCTGCCTAAGAAGGTAGAAACTGATAGAGAGAAATACTAGATAAGTTGTCAAATTTTGTCTTATAAGATCGACACAAGTCAGGCCGAGATCTCTTCACAAGAGACTCCAAACGTTTAACTTCAGTTGACTATTAAGCAAAAGACGTTTTGAGGTTAAATTTCGTATTTTATACAAAATTCCCAACACCAAAAATCCCTTTTATAACTTATAGAATGTGAGAAACAGAAATCAGCAGAAGATATTACGAATCATGGCATCTTATTGCTAAGCTTACGAGATTCTTAGCGTTATACCGACTCAATTACCTCCAATTCACCCTTAAAGCGGAACGACTAAACACACATTCGCTCAATTCCTAATGAAGATCTCCACTGACAACACTTTAGTCAATATTTGGCAAGAATTATCGACTTCCGAAGCGTTCATGCCTCCCCGCAAACAGGCTGAAAAGTGTGTTTTATGGGCGGAATCGCATCAACCGTTCCCACCCCTGTTCTGACCTCCCCCAAGCCCCACCGGCCGTGCTGCCGCCGCTGTCGAGTGTGAGTGCTCGGAGAGAAATCAAGTAGTCGTCATAAAAATTTTTACGAGCTTTGCTGTCAGTCAGCACAAGTTGTAAAAAGCTGTGCGGCGCTAGTGCACAATCCCATCAGACCCATCAATCGTGGCTTAAATCGCGTCGCTCCATCCCGAGACATGCGATGGTGAGCACACGTCGAGTGTAAACCTCAGAGCCGGGGAATGTGCCGTAAATATGCGGCAAAATATGCTCAGAACTTCGGTGTGTCTATTAGTTCCCAATAAAAGTGGCCACAGAGCCGGCACACACTTCAAATCGACGGCTTGCCCACGTGAGGATGAGCGCAGGAATCCCGCGAGCAATAAAAACACGCAGTCGGATTTTTATTGCTAATTTATAGTTCAAATAGATGAAACGACTACCAACGACCTTGTCACTAATTGTGATTAATTGGACTCATATTGAGAGCTTTGAAGCTTCTTTTTTGCATTCTCGCCTTATGATCTTCTCAAATTTTCACCCCGCAGCCGCGGTTTTCGCGCTCGCTCTCCTTTCTCGGCGACAGAGGGTCTAACAAGGGGGAAATATTACGGTGCAAAGTGGTTTACAACATCGTAAGTTTGTCTTGAAGATTGAATTTTGTGTTTTCAACGCGTCAGTTTTTGAATTACGTGCATTTTTTTCACTTCTGATTCTATTTTTGACTCAATTACGAGAGATTTAACACAATATTAATAAATTGATTGGTGCAAAACGACTGAAAAATGAATGATGGAAGCCACAAAAAGTGTCACACAGACTCTAGCCAAGTATATCTCCCCCTTTGACGCTTAAATCTGCGATCTGTCTCGCGCTTAAGGCTACTCGAGAGTGAGCACATTGAAGCCCTGTCCAGCGATACCTCAGAATCTGCCCTCACCCTCACATATGTGGCGAATAAATGGCATATCATTTATAAAGTCATAATCGTTATAGCAACTGCGCGGGAAATGGATGTGCTAAGAAGTTTTTTTTTGCGTTTGCGCCATCTTCAAGGACTTGCGCCACCTCGATAAATGAGTGCTTTTAATTTTATTAATTCAACTCCTTTTTCCCATCCGTGCGAATGTCTTTTCTGGTGGCAAGTGATAAATTTTTGCAGCAAGTCAACGCCAGAGGAGCGGATATCGACATAAAATCGAATATTTATTGACAAAATATTAACTGCCTGATTATTCTCTCTCTCTCGCGTACCATTTTTTTTGTCCACCTTTTCCTTCTACCTTCCATCACCATTAAGGCAATTTTTTTCACTCTCCCTCATCTGCTCTTTCGCCTTCTCAATGTTATATTCTTAGAGAGCCTCTTCGTCCACATGAAACCCCGAGTTATTTACAACTCTCTTTGTTTCCCAACACAAATTGACACTCTTTTCATTCACACGCACACACATATTTTCGGGGGACTGATTTATTGATGAGGATGCCATAATGAATAAAAAAAATTTAATTTTTATCGAGAAATTAAAGACACGCAGCTTACAAGATTAAGAGACGAAACGAAACGGTCAAATAAATAAAGGTGTCCATAGTCCATCTGAAAATGAGAATTTTTTCCAGAAAAATGCGCGGCGTGATCAAATATTGACGAGGGATGCCATAAATTACGTCCAACGGATGGGAAATTCAAATATTCTCCTCTAATTTGACACGATATAGAGATGCTCATGGCCTCAGATCTGGGAATCTCTCTCACATAGAGCTCTCCAAATGAATAACTCTGCGGTGAAATGACCGATTACTTGGTCAGATGCGAGCCCATTTCGAGGCACAAATGTGAAATTTAATTAATTAATTATTAATATATCTGGAGCGGGCGGAAAAACTCCCCCTTCTTGGGGCTCTCCATGCACTTTTCCTCCTCCTCGTGGAGATAATGAAAGATAAAATGAATTATCACTCGAGAATCCTCTCAAGACGCATCAATCACACTTTTTGGCTGTGTCTGTGCAATGGTCAAATTCTCTCACCCCTCAAAATCAACCCCAAGCTGTTGGGGAAAATCACCTCGGAGATTTCTCAAACGGCGCGCTCTCTTCGCCGGAAAATCTGCTCAGTGGCAATGGGCGAAATACGGTGAGGATTGGCAGAGAAAGAGGAAAGCAAGAAAGTGCCAGCACTCGGAAAAACGACTTTGGCTTTCATGCACTGCTAGAAAAGCAGAACAGAGTTGAAGTTCTGGCATTTTATTCGCGTGCTTTTTGTTTCCTCAGATACTTCGATTAAAAGAACTAAGAATATGGAATCAACAAATTGCAAACACATAATAATATTTCGCTCTATCAATGCGATTTCCTCTGAGTGCAGGACGGAATGGTGACAAAAAAGAGCGTCAGTGATTTTTCATGGGAGAGATTGAAAAATGTCAGAAGTGATAGTTTCGTGGAAGGAATTTCCATCTGAATGGCATTGAGTAGATAGAAGACTCATTATATCGATCCTTTAACCCTCTCCATCACACAATAAGAGACTCTCCGTGTGCACACAGAGAGTGAAAAGGCACAATCATTGGGACTCTTTCATTGCACTGCTGCTGAAGAAACTTGTTCTTCGCACTTCAAGCAAAGCAATGGATGGGATAAATAAATAAAACGTAAATAAATTGTCGGCTGAATTCAAAATTCATATAAATTTGTTAATATTTTATCGTCTCCCACAGAGTGGGCAGATATAAGGTTGATGGCTAAAGTCACTCTCCGCCAGTGACTCTTCTTCATCGCGTTGATATCTCTTAGCCGTTGTCGCTCTGAACATAAATTACCCAGTCGCATTTTACACTCTATGCCCGGCGACATTTTATGTACATCAAATTATTATTAGTTTTCATCCTCTTTTCTCCATTCATGACGAGAGCGCGCGCGATGCCATCAACCCGCGATTGAGAGATGCTGTTGCAATGGAAACTGCAGGGAAACTCACGGATCATTTTCTCTCCTCCCCTCCGTTTTGGCACACACACACACACACAGGGGGGAAAAGAGAAGGAAAAGAGTGAGAGGAGTCAGAGAAATATACGCCATACCCCAAAGAAATGAGCGATATGCATCGAGACTTGACGATTTATTGCACCTCTCGTGATGCATAAAAAATACTCACCTTTCTTGGCCACTTTTTTTCGGCCGGGCTCTTGAACAATCATAAAAAGGGGGAACAATACAAATTTCATGTGATTTATAGCTTCTTCATTTTTGCTCCGTGTCTCACAGATTCGCACGGCAAGAACGCATGTGAAATCCCCGTAAAATTGCACAATGAGTCGATGAGGGGTTCGCGAGAGTGAGACGGGATTATATGTGTAAATAAGCACCATCATAAATTGTCTTTCATTATTATTAATAAGCGCATTTGCTGAATGAGCCTAGGAATTCAGTACAATCATATGGAGAGGCTTTTCTTGCGCCCTGTGACGCTGAAAAACCGGGCGACCTGAAACTTTCAGGTGAGCGTCAAAGTCAAGCCGTGAAATGCACGAAAGCGCGGATTGAAGTGTGACTGAGGGCAGTGGCACTATCAATGGTATCAACGCCAAAGAACTTGATTCGCGTGACAGATTGTCCATTTGACGGTGCATTTAAATCCTGGCCACACCGGCTCATGCGGCAGAAATTGGCGCGCAAATCGCGAGTGTTCGAGGCATTTATGCCCCATACAGACAAACATGAATATGCTTGAATGTGGCCGAACGAGCATCGAGCGGAAACATAAATCTCCCAAATGGATATTTAGTGTGTAACTGACTTTGACTTGATTCAAAATCCGCGCACATATGCAAAGTGAAATGATTCCATCACTCAGCGTGTGAGAAATTAATGAATCAGACACATATTATAGCTTCATGTTGTGCGTTGTCAGGCGAATTTCAACTCACCATTTTCTTCAGGTTTCAGCCATCGATGATATGAAGGTCGAGGCTGCTGCTTTGAACGCATCTTTGAACCACGACACTAGAAAACCTCAAATTGTGCCTCCTGATGAGTTACCTGAAATGAGAAGACAGAAGTGATGATTAAGAAAGCTGGTCAACATTCATCTCTGTCGCCAGAGACTCAAGCGATTCCACCCAAAACCGCTATCAACCCACAATCTCCGGCTAATTAAAGAATACTGTTGAAGGGGAGTTTTGTCATTTGCCATGAAGACTTCTTTTTGGGGGCACTCAAGAGGGAAGCACGATTACAAATGCGCTCGGCACAGCCAAAGACACAGATAATGCTTTTGACAGAAGAAGCGAAAACGGTCGAAAAACAACGTCAATCGATAGATTTGCTCACTCATATCTTATGAAATAAGATGCTAGATTTAACATTAAGAATATTAGCCATTATAATAAAATAATCTGTCCTCAAATTCTACCTTTACATTGCCGTGAACATTTATTCGTCTCTTTTTATAATTATTATAATATATGTATGAGATTGAGATACGAATAATATGGAGAAAAGAATCAAGAAGAGAAGTGAGATTGAGAATAGCTTCTATTGTGTTGTTCAGCACCAGTTGACAAACCTCAGAATCTCATCTCCATATGAACAACTCAAGCCTCATGCAGACTTATCGTCGCGCAAGGAAACACGAACGACCTCCTTGCATTCCCGCGCTGATTTATGGATTTAATTGATTGTATCATCGCAGAAGGTGAGACAAAATTGCAACATTTCTCTAAAAAATCGTGCTCTCTTGAGGACCATTCGCGATTGAGGCGATAGATAGTCCAATCACAGGCCAACAAATCATCGCGAGAATCAGAGTGATGCCCATAAAAAGTTCCCTCAACTCCTGGCGCCTCATCGCCCCAAAAAGTCTCTCTCTCTCTCCCTGGGATGCGGGCAAATGGCAGGGAAACATGTTTCTTCCATCATAAATTGCTAATACATTTTTTCCGCGTCAAATGAATAAATTTGCCATTTTAATTTGCTTTCATTCCACTCTCCGCAACGAGCAAAGCCCTCTCTTTCCAAACCATACTTTATCGTCATGTTTATTCCGATAAAATAATCATCTTTATTGGCAAAGTGTTTGTTGATCTTTTTCTGCCTTCGCCCATTGACTTGTGTCTCTCAACTTGTCCACAAAGTGCATTTTGGCCGTCTCGCTGGTGGATATTTTCGACAGCAAAGAAATGGCCAGAGTTTGGGCAACTTTCTTGGATTTTGTCCGTGATTATGGCTCTTTTCGCCTTTTCCCAGGCCCGAGGATATTCACATGGCGTTTTCGTTAGGAATATACAAATTGAATGACTGCAAACTTCCACATTTCGACTATTATTATCATCAGCACGAAACATGAGACATTGATATGCGAAATCACTCCCACTGAGAAGCATTCGGTCCATCGATTGAGGATTCTTCTGCAGAAGTGAAGCAGTCAAAAGGGTGTGTCATTTCGAGGAGAAAAGGTTAAAAAAAAATTGTACTTTGTCTGATTGGAATTAATTGAAACAATTCAAGCGATATTTCGTAGTGAAAAGCACACTTTTGCACCGTCAATTTGCTATGTTTTGAATTACTTCCAGCACTTTGTTGCTTACACGCTTGATAATTGCTGAGAGCGACAGCAAAAACGCACCTAATCTCTCAAATTACAACCCTCAGTACATAAGTTTCTGAGCCTTGTGAGATGCTCAGTCCCGAAATGATCACCCTCTCGAGGAGCATCAGCGGAAAGTTTATTCATTTCGACTAGAGCCACTTTGTGAAGCATCTTACGCCATCCAGTGGTGGAGAAAAAATCCCCACCCATTCAGTAAATAATCTAAACTCTCTGCAATATCCAAAAGTTTTCTCCTGTGAGCTTCTGGTCGCGCCTCAGCCACCCTAAGAGCCAGATTTTAGAGAAATATCTCTGCCTCACGCCACGAGAATTCCGCCCAAAGATGCCGAGGAGACGCGGTGGGGCAGAAATGAAGAGAGTCATATAGAAGCACATCACTGAGAATTGTTGACAATATTCCGAAATCAGCAGGATTCAACTTGATTTGCCTTTCAGCCCATAATCCGCCGTGAATTATTGATGAGATGGCGACGACTTGAGAGTATAAGAATTAAATTATAATATTTTCCTTCCAATGAAGATGATGAAGAAGATGAGAAGAAGGCACACGAAAACGGCCACATGAATTGAGTTCCACTCTTACAAACACACCAGCGCGCGGAGGTCTAATTTATGACATCCACAGAAGGGTGGAACGACAATATTTTTCCGTCGAAATATATAAATTCTGAAGCTGTCCTTTCGTGCATACAACCCCCTGTCGCCCCACCCTGCGCGCCCAGAAAAAATCCCTCCCATCTCCTCAAAAGTTAACACTGGGCGAAGAGTGGCCGCATCAGGAGCGGAGGACACATTAGTGGAGCACTGACTGGGCGCTCCTGGGGGTGGGGGACTTTCCGCCCATTCCAGGGCAAAAGTGATTGCTTCAAAAAGCTCGCCTCCACGTCCATTTATATACGGAAGAGGACAAAATTTATAGCACCTTCGAAATAATTACACAGCACATTTCTACATGCACAGAGAGAGACAGTCTTGCCACCCCTTGGCAGTGAGTCATGGGCGAGGGATGCCCACCCTCCCGATGATTAAAAGATTCCTCAGTATTTGAATACACTCACTCTCGTGCCCTCACGTTATGTCCCAGATAAATAAATACAGTTGCCTCCAAAGACGAGCATCAAGAGCAGAAAGCCACGATTTTTAGCTAAATGCGTGAGATTAGTTTTCAGCAGCCCCGAATAGAAAGTTCTAAGTCCTGTTGCACAATAAGCAATTTGAAAGTAAGCTTTTAGTCAATTTTCAGCTTCTTATTCTTAAGCTTTTCTACTTATTTCAGCTTTCTGGAAATGCTCGAGTTCAGCTAAAAGTTTAGTCTTCTTTGCTCGACATTTTTTGGATACTGAATTTCGAATTCCAAATAAACTTTAACGGTCTTCTCACCACTTTCTCCTCCGAACACCTTTTCCCGGGCCTCGAAAACTAGTGCAAAAGTGTTTGTGGCAAAAATTGAATTCTCACTGCGTGAATTTCTATTTCTTTTCACGCACGCCACACAATAATCCTCCCCTGTCGATCATAAATCTCTCATCCGATTCATCAGATTCTTTGTGACTTTCTACCCAACATTCGAGCACTTTTTCGCCAGCGATAGTAAATTTAGGGGATGGTGGAATGGGGATGAAATACGTTTTCGATGGGTGTGAAAGTGTGCTCAAAAGGACACCCTTCGCTATGATGGAAAGTCGGGTGGAACAAAGAGACACATATCGAATCTCTTTCACAAAATTCTGCGAGACTTTTCAGCCAGCGAAGAAAGTCCATTGGGGTGGGGAAAATCGTTGGGAATTAAATTGAAAAATTTACAAGCTTCAATTAAGCCGCTATGTGTTTCTTCCATTATCATTAATAAAAATTTACTCGTTCAATTGGGGTGGCTTAGAGTACAAGATGCTTCGGAATTTAATTTGGTCATTAAATGTCCTGACGAGGGCAAAATCACTGGGGCGCTGCTGTCCATTGAGTCAAGGTGAAAAAATTAAATTTTCCCTACCATTCTGGCGCCTTTTTCTGTGTGTGATTGAGGGGCGCCTTCTCAATCAATCACCGTGGCTGAAATGAGCTCTGGGGGATGGAGGGCATTGGATGTGTTAGGAAAATTGACCGGTAAATTATTGTTTAATTACGCGCCCTGACAATTTATTAAAGTGGCAAAAACAGTCTCTGCTAATTGAATGGCGCGTGTAAAAGAAATATGCTGCGCGCTCAGATGTGATTCATGTGGCCCGAGGGGCGAAGGTACGAGCGCCCAGTGTCGCCCGCCACCCACTGCCGCCCCCCCACGTCCAACCCGGCGAAAGTGCAGGAGACGAGGCGGTGAGGAGAGTGTATAAATGACGTTAGTTCGTTGACGGTAGTTGTATTCGACGGCCCGATGGGAAACGACCAATATTTTACAAGTTTTTGACAAGCTAGATGGCTTTTCCATCTTTGAGCGGACACCCGGGGCTGAGAGTGTGTTCCATATCGGGTCAAGATATGAATTCATGCACATATATACCCACCGTGTATATCATCGTGATATTATGCTATATAAATCATTGTTATGTTATATTATTTATTCTCCCTCAACTCCCTCGCACCGCACTTCGTGCACACAAAGTATCTCCACTAAAGATTCCTCACTTTCGGACGCCTTTGAGACTTTTCGGTCTTCGTTAAGGGGTAAGTAACTGAAAAATGCTAAGTATTTAGGAGTGCTGCAATTTCTTCAGCACTAATCACAAATCAATCTAAGCTTATGAACTCAGAATGCAATTCTTAAAAAGAAATTTCTCGCTACGTTTCAATTATTCTTATTATATTTTAATATGAAAATTGTCATGATTTTTGCATTTGACTCAATACGAAAACAAACTTGGAAAGACACTTATTTATACCCCTTGACTTTGGAGCATTGCCGTGTAGGTTCGCTCGGCAGTCGCCTAATTTATAGTTGGACGCGTCGCGAGACGACACGATGAGGAGTCATTTGTGACTAAACATCAACGATGATGGCATTTCTATTGAGCCTGAAGCAATTTGGAACTGTGAAGTGGAAACATTTTCTTCGACTTTCCATGAAAAATTCAAATATTTCCCTAAGAAACTTTCTCGGTAATTTATTTTGACACTTTTCCCGAAGAAAAAAAACGTGTGTGTGTGTGTGCGTACGAACAGCGCGCAAAGTCACCCAACCTTGCCAAGCGGGAAGCAAACATATGGATAATTGCAAATAAATACTCCTCTTGCGCTCTCTTTCCCTCCATCATTCTTTGTTGATTTTTTATGTGGAGCTCCTCGACAAAAAATCCCAATGAAGACCCCGACGCTCAGGGGTTGGGGAAGAAATAAAACCACCCTTTTAAGATTCAAACATTCGACATTCTTTATGAGGGCGATAAATTTTCCGAGCGATGTATTTCTGCACACACACACACACACACACAGAGCC